ATGATGATGATGATGATGATGATGATGATGATGATGATGATGATGATGATGATGATGATGATGATGATGATGATGATGATGATGATGATGATGATGATGATGATGATGATGATGATGATGATGATGATGATGATGATGATGATGATGATGATGATGATGATGATGATGATGATGATGATGATGATGATGATGATGATGATGATGATGATGATGATGATGATGATGATGATGCTGATGATGATGATGATGATGATGATGATGATGATGATGATGATGATGCTGATGATGATGATGATGATGATGATGATGATGATGATGATGATGATGATGATGATGATGATGATGATGATGATGATGATGATGATGATGATGATGATGATGATGATGATGATGATGATGATGATGATGATGATGATGATGATGATGATGATGATGATGATGATGATGATGATGATGATGATGATGATGATGATGATGATGATGATGATGATGATGATGATGATGATGATGCTGATGATGATGATGATGATGATGATGATGATGATGATGATGATGATGATGATGATGATGATGATGATGATGATGATGATGATGATGATGATGATGATGATGATGATGATGATGATGATGATGATGATGATGATGATGATGATGATGATGATGATGATGATGATGATGATGATGATGATGATGATGATGATGATGATGCTGATGATGATGATGATGATGATGATGATGATGATGATGATGATGATGATGATGATGATGATGATGATGATGATGATGATGATGATGATGATGATGCTGATGATGATGATGATGATGATGATGATGATGATGATGATGATGATGATGATGATGATGATGATGATGCTGATGATGATGATGATGATGATGATGATGATGATGATGATGATGATGATGCTGATGATGATGATGATGATGATGATGATGATGATGATGATGATGATGATGATGATGATGATGATGATGATGATGATGATGATGATGATGATGATGATGATGATGATGATGATGATGATGATGCTGATGATGATGATGATGATGATGATGATGATGATGATGATGATGATGATGATGATGATGATGATGATGATGATGATGCTGATGATGATGATGATGATGATGATGATGATGATGATGATGATGATGATGATGATGATGATGATGATGATGATGATGATGATGATGATGATGATGATGATGATGATGATGATGATGATGATGATGATGATGATGATGATGATGATGATGATGATGATGATGATGATGATGATGATGATGATGATGATGATGATGCTGATGATGATGATGCTGATGATGATGATGATGATGATGATGATGATGATGATGATGATGATGATGATGATGATGATGATGATGATGATGATGATGATGATGATGATGATGATGATGATGATGATGATGATGATGATGATGATGATGATGATGATGATGATGATGATGATGATGATGATGATGATGATGATGATGATGATGATGATGATGATGATGATGATGATGATGCTGATGATGATGATGATGATGATGATGATGATGATGATGATGATGATGATGATGATGATGATGATGATGATGATGATGATGATGATGATGATGATGATGATGATGATGATGATGATGATGATGATGATGATGATGATGATGATGATGATGATGATGATGATGATGATGATGATGATGATGATGATGATGATGATGATGATGATGATGATGATGATGATGATGATGATGATGATGATGATGATGATGATGATGATGATGATGATGATGATGATGATGATGATGATGATGATGATGATGATGATGATGATGATGATGATGATGATGATGATGATGATGATGATGATGATGATGATGATGATGATGATGATGATGATGATGATGATGATGATGATGATGATGATGATGATGATGATGATGATGATGATGATGATGATGATGATGATGATGATGATGATGATGATGATGATGATGATGATGATGATGATGATGATGATGATGATGATGATGATGATGATGATGATGATGATGATGATGATGATGATGATGATGATGTGATGATGATGATGATGATGATGATGATGATGATGATGATGATGATGATGATGATGATGATGATGATGATGATGATGATGATGATGATGATGATGATGATGATGATGCTGATGATGTGATGATGATGATGATGATGATGATGATGATGATGATGATGATGATGATGATGATGATGATGATGATGATGATGATGATGATGAGATGATGATGATGCTGATGATGATGATGATGATGATGATGATGATGATGATGATGATGATGATGATGATGATGATGATGATGATGATGATGATGATGATGATGATGATGATGATGATGATGATGATGATGATGATGATGATGATGATGATGATGATGCTGATGATGATGATGATGATGATGATGATGATGATGATGATGATATGATGATGATGATGATGATGATGATGATGATGAGATGATGATGATGATGATGATGATGATGATGATGATGATGATGTGCTGATGATGATGATGATGATGATGATGATGATGATGATGATGATGATGCTGATGATGATGATGATGATGATGGATGATGATGATGATGATGATGAGATGATGATGATGATGATGATGATGATGATGATGATGATGATGATGATGATGATGATGCTGATGATGATGATGATGATGATGATGATGATGATGGATGATGATGATGATGATGATGTGATGATGATGATGATGATGATGATGATGATGATGATGATGATGATGATGATGATGATGATGTGGATGATGTGTGGTGGATGATGATGATGGATGATGAGGAGGATGAGGATGATGATGTTGAGGTGATGATGATGAGGATGAGGTGATGATGATGTGAGGTGATGATGTGGAGGTGTGATGATGATGAGGTGATGTGATGATGATGATGAGGATGTGATGATGTTGATGATGATGAGGATGATGAGGAGGTGGATGAGGTGTGGTGGTGATGGTGGATGGAGGTGGATGATGGTGGAGGAGGATGATGAGGTGGATGGTTGTGGATGAGGTGGTGGATGAGGATGTGGTGGAGGTGGTGGAGGTGGTGGATGGTGGTGGAGGTGGTGGAGGTGGAGGAGGATGAGGTGGTGGAGGTGGTGGTGGTGGAGGAGGTGGTGGTGGTGGAGGTGGTGGAGGTGGTGTGGAGGTGGTGGAGGTGGTGGAGGTGGTGGTGGTGGAGGTGGTGGTGGTGGTGGTGGTGGTGGTGGAGGTGGAGGTGGTGGTGGTGGGAGGTGGTGGAGGTGGTGGTGGTGGTGTGGTGGTGGAGGTGGTGGTGGTGGAGGATGTGGTGAGAGGGGGCCAAGCCGGGGGGGGGGTGTGTGTGTGATGATGATGCATGCTGCATGATGATGATGCATATGAAGCTGCTATGAATGATGGATGACTGCATGAACTGATGATGCGCTGCTGATGATGCACTGATGGATGATGAAGATGATGATGATGATGGATGATGATGATGATG